ACGCTTATGAATTTAGAGCAAAGTTCAAAACAAAGATATACAATATTAGGAAGGCTAGCTTTAATGGTATGACACTGACACTAGAAACTGGATAGATATAAATTGCAAAACCATTGAAGGGGCATGGAATTTTTTACACGGGTATTGACTAGAGTACATGAGGAACTTACCAACTATTATTACTAATCCAGAGTCGTCTATGACCAGTATATGTATAACTGAGGCTGATGTGCTACAAAGCCTAGCTAAAATAAATAAATCACAGGGCCCTGATAGCATCTTACCTATAATTCTAAAAGAGATGTGGGATATTATTTGCAAACCTTTAACTTGATTATTTCAGAAATCCTTAACTGCTGATGTGGTACCTTCTGATTGGAAGCATGCTAATATAACACCCATATTCAAAAAAGGGGATAGAAGTAATCCAGCAAACTATCAATCTGTCAAACTATCAACCAGTAATCAGTTTAACTTGCATAACTGGAAAAGTAATGGAAGCTATAATCCAAGTGAAAATGGTAGATTTGCTGGATTCAAATAACATTCTGAGGGATATCCAACATGGATTCAGGAGAGGTAGATCTTGTTTAAATAATCTTCTTGAGTTCTTTGAGGAAGCTACAAGAGAAATTGATCACAAAAAAAGCCTATGATGTGATCTACTTAGATTTCCAGAAGTTAACTTACATTAACTTACATTAATGATATTGACACCATTACATACAGTAAACTGGTTAAATTTGCAGATGACACCAAGGTGGGTGGTGTAGCAGATACTGAACTAGCAGCACAGAGGCTACAACAGGATTTTGATTTGATTAGCGACTTAGCTGATACCTGGCAGATGAAATTTAATGTAGATAAATGTAAGGTAATCCATGCAGGGAGCAGAAATATAATGTACAGATATTTTATGGGTTCCACTGAAATAAAGGTAGCTGATTATGAGAAAGATCTCGGTGTGTATGTTGATGCCTCCATGTCCCACTCTCGTCAGTGTGGGGAAGCAATAAAAAAGACCAATAGAATGTTGGGTTATATCTCTAGGTGTGTGGAGTTTAAGTCAAGGGAGGTGATGTTGCATTTATTTAATTCCTTGGAAAGACCCCATTTAGAATATTGTGTGCAGGTTCAATCACCAAACCTTAAAAAGGACATTGCTGCCTTGGAAATGGTGCAGCGTAGAGCTACAAGAATGATTCCTGGTCTTAGAGGAATGTCTTATGAGGAGAGGTTAGCTGAGCTGAATCTGTTCAGTCTCGAGCAAAGGAGACTAAGGGGGGACATGATCTAGGTATATAAGGTTTTACCTGGTCTGGACGCTGTTCAGCCAAATAGTTACTTCAATATTAGGTTAAATACTAGAACTCATGGCCATAGGTGTAAATTAGTGGGAGGACATTTTAAAATGGATTTGAGAAAGCACTTCTTTGCATAGCATGTAATTAGAGTATGGAATAATCATCCTGTTTGTGTAGTGCAAGCTAAAACCTTGGGTTCCTTTAAATCAGAGCTACAGTAGATAAGATTTTAACAGCTCTGAGCTATTAGTTGAGTTCTCCTCAAACGAGCTTGATGGGCCGAATGGTCTCCTCCTTTTGTAAGTGTCTTATGTAGTAAATTATATTGTGCACACAAGTTATCTTGTTCCCACAAGATAATTAACTTGTGCAAATTAACTTGTTCCCACAAGATAACTTGTATGTGCACAAGATAAAAAAATCACCTTATAGGACTTTTGGGGCTCTGTACTTTACAGACTGCCAAAAAAACTAAATAACATAGTATCACATGTGGATCAAGCACATGTGGCCGATACCCGATATGTCTAATAGATATGGATTGGTGCCTCTAAATCGTTGCTGTTTGCTGCAGCTTTTCAATAAATTCAATTTGCAGGAGTTTCATTCATGCACTGCCACTGCAGTGTAGCTTCTTTTTAGCTAAATATTTATTTTTTTATGGTGGCTTTTAAGTTTTTTTTTTTTCTTTTAAATGTAATTTTAATGTCTTATAATTTTAATGTGTCCCTGTAAAGCACTTTGAATTGCCTTGTGTCTGAATTGTGCCATATAACTTACCTTGCGTTCCCTTTAAGTAGATATCAGTGGCGGTCGGTGATCTTTCAAACAGTGGAAGCTGGCTAGTCCCCCCTCCTCCACGACTAGTAATAAACAAATGAATTTTACAAATCTGCTAATGAACAAACTAACCTTACTAACGAAAGAAGGAGCAAACTGAAGAACACTATATTTATGATTTTATTTATAGTACAATATGTACAAATAAAAATTGAAAATATGAAAAGACCTCACTTGCCAAAAATCCACATGGGACTTGAAATGCTCCAATGCTGAAGTATAATTTCAAAACGCTGTCAATCAGAAAGAGGTCCAGCCACTTTGACAGTTCCTCCAATCATCACGCAGCAGCCCAGTTTCCTGGCTGCGAATTTGCGCCTTACAGGATGGTTCGGGAAAACTCATTGATATTCATGAGAGATGCGCTACCTGATTGGCCAGTGAATGCTTTAGACAGAATGCCAAAGAAACCATGCTAATTGATAAATAACAGAACCCATACTGTAAGTCAAAATTCTATTGATCTATGAAAAGGAAAACAGAATGTACTGTGATTGGGGTTAAATGCGTAAAATTTACAGTCATACTTTGGAATACAGCAGATGGATTATGTTTAATAATGACATTTCCACTCTTTAATTCATGGATAAGGTTGGACTTCCTAGAAAAAGAGCAAAAAGGCACCAAATTGAATGTAGACTAAGCTCTCATTGCAAACAGTAACTTTCAAATTCAGTTAATGACTTATTTGAGGTGATAAAATGTGAATAGTAGTTTATGAAAGGATACATACATTTATCAAGACTTCTCTGCTTGGATTCTGTAAGGAGTGTGAAATCTGGCAATCATCTAAATTAAGTACTGTGATGTCCTCCTCTATAAGAATGCAATAAAAAATGGAAACACTACAAAAGACAGTAAGGACAACTACTCCTGAGCATCATTAATATGAAATCAGCACTAACCAGCCTAGACTAGCATGGAAATCTTGCTGTTGTACACAAATTTTTCCAGCAAGATATAGACATCACTGTTCGCCACTTAAACTTGGACATAATACCAATTAGGCTATACGAGGTGGGGCTATTAAATAAGTATAACACTGTTAAATAATAAGATTGTGGTTGTATGTAATTAATAGGGGTGTAACAATACATCGATTTGTATCGATATATCGATTCAACGGCAAACGATCCGATGCATCGATGTGACCACATAAATATCGATACATGCGTTTTTATTTTCTGGCCTGTTCCAGTATTGTTTTCATGATACACTCCAACGTATACATGGTCTACACCAGGGGTGCCCAATACATCGATCGCGATCTACTGGTCGATTGCAAAGGTAGTGTGGGTAGATCGTATGGCATAAAAAATAGAGGATGGATGACA